GGTCGGCTTTCCAAAATGTCTTTATTGGACCCAAGAATCCAGACAAATAAAATATATTCTTCCCCCCAAAAGGTCTACCATACAAAATGAAGACACTGAACCCAAGAATCCAGACAAATAAACTTAAATTCTCCCTGACAAAGGTCTACTATCCAAAATGTCCTTACTAAACCCAAGAATCTAGACAAATAAAACAAAATGATCCCTGGACAAAGGTCTACCTTCCAAAATGTCCTTATTGAACCCAAGAATCCAGACAAATAAAACAGAATTCTCATTTGACTAATGTCTACTATTGAAAATGTAGACACTGATGCCAAGAATCCAGATGAATAAAGTAAAATTCACCCCTGACAAAGGTGTACTATCCAAAATGTACACACTGAACCCAAGAAACCAGACAAATAAAACAATGTTCTACCCTGACATAAGTCTACTATCCAAAATGTCCGTATTAAAGCCAAGAATTCAAACAAATAAAACAAAATTCTCCCTTGACAAAGATCTACTATCAAAAATGTACTCACTGAAACCAGGAATGCAGACAAATAAAACAAAATTCTCCCCTGATCAAGGTCTATTATGCAAAATGTTCTTGTTGAACACAAGAATCCTGACAAATATAATAAAAATTTTCCTGTGACAAAAGTCTGCTATCCAAATGTCCTCATTGAATTCAAGAATCAAGACAAATAAAAGAAAATTCTCCCGTGACAAGGCTCTACAATCCAAATGTACACCCTGAGCCAAGAATTTTGAAAATAAAAGAAATTCTCCCTTGACATAGGTCTATGATCCAAAATGTCTTTATTGAACACAAAAATACAGACAAATGAAATAAAATTCTCTTCTGACATAGGTCGACTATCGAAAATGTCCTTATTCAACCCAAGAATACACAAGTAAAACAAAATTATACCCTGACAAATGTCTACTACCCACAATGTCCTTTTGAACCCAAGAATCAGAGAAACAAAACAAAATTCTCTACTCACAAAAGCCTACTATCCAAAATGTTCACACTGAACCCAAGAATCCAGAAAAATAAAATGAAATTCTCGCCTGACAAAGGTCAGCTACCAAAAATGTTATTGAACCAAAGAATCCTGACAAATAAAACAAAATTCCCCACTGAGAAGGGTCTACCATCCAAAATGTACACACTCAAACCAAGAATGCAGAGAAATAAGACAAAATCGGCCCTGACAAAGGTTCATTCTCCAAACTCTCCTTCCTGAACCCAAGAACCCGGACAAAGAAACAAAATTCTACCCTGACATAGGTCTGAATCACTGAATCCTGAATCACTGAACCCAAGATTCCAGAGAAATTAACAAACTTTCCTTGGAAAAAGGTCTACTATCCAACATGTCCTTATTGAACCAAAGTTTCCATACAAATAAAACAAAATTCTCTCCTGACAAAGGTCTACTCTCCAAAATGTACACTCTGAACCCAATATTCCAGACGAATAAAACAAAATTCTCCATGGACAAAGGTCTACTCCCCAAAATGTCCCTATAGGACGCAAGAATCTAGATAAATAAAACAAAATTCTTCCCTGACAAATGTCTTCTCTCCAAAATGCCCTTATTGAACCCAAGAATCTAGAAAAATAAAAAATTCACCAGGCAAGGTCTACTTTCCAAAATGTACCATGAACTCAAGAATAGAGACAAATTAAACAAAATTGTCCCCTGACAAAAGTCTACTGTTCAAACTGTACACACTGACCCCTGAATCCAGACAAATTAAAGAAAATTTGGGTCTGACTAAGGTCTGTTATCCAAAATGGCATTATTGAACCCAAGATGCAGACAAATAAAAAAATTCTCCCCCTCCAAAGTCTATTATCCAAAATGTTCTTAATGAACCCAAGAATCCAGACAAATAAAGATAATTCTCACCTGAGAAAGGTCTACTATCCAAAATGTACACAGTATCCCAGAATGAGAACAAATAAAACAAAACTCTCCCTTGTCATAGGTCTACTATCCAAAATTATCTTATCGAACGCCAGAACGCAAACAAATAAAACAAAATTATCCCCTGACAAAGTTCTACTATCCAAAATATCTTTATTGAACCCAGAAATCCAGACAATTAAATTAAAATTCTCTCCTCTCAAACGTCTACTCTCCAAAATGCACAGACCTAACCCGATAATCCCGAAAAATAAAACAAAATTCTCCACTGATATAGGTCTACTATCTAAAATGTACACAGGCAACCAAAGAATGCAAAAAAATAAATAAAACAAAATTCTTCCCTGACGTAGGTCTACTATCCAAAATTTCCTTATTGAACGTAAGAATCCAGACAAATAAAACAAAATTCTCCCCTGACAAAGGTTTGCTATCCAAAATATCCTTACTGAACTCAAGAATCAAGAGAAATAAAATAAAATACTCCACTGACAATATTCTACTAATCAAAATGTCCTTAATGAACCTGAGAATCCATACAAAAAAGCAAAGTTCTCCCTTGACAGAGTTCTACTATCAAAAATATATACACTGCACAAAAAATTCAGACAAATGAAACAAAATTCTGCCCTGACAAAATGTACTATCTAAAAGTCCTTATTGAAGCCAAGAGTCCAGACAAAAACAACAAAAATTCTCCTTTTTCAAAGGTCAATTATACAAAATCTCCTTATTGAATGCACGAATCCAGACAACTAAAAGATATTTTCCCCTGACAAAGGACTACTATCCATAATGTCCTTATTGAACCCAAGAATCCAGACAAATAAAACAAAATTCTACCCTGACAAAGCTCTACTCTTCAAAATATGCACACTGGAACCAAGAATCTACAGAAATAAAACATAATTCGCCCTGATAAATGTTTGCTTTCCAAAATGTACACAATGCATGCAAGAATCAAGACCAAAAAAACCCCCAAAATTCGCCCATCATAATGGTCAAGTATTCAAAATGTCTATATGGACCACAAGAATCCAGACAAATAAAACAAATTTCTTCCCTGACAAAAGTCTATTATAAAAATGTCATTTTTGAAACCATGGAATGTGGACAAATAAAACAAAATTCTTCTCTGACAAAAGTCTATATCCTAAATATACAGACCATACTGATGAATCCAGACAAATGAACAAAATTCCCCTGACCTAGTCTACTTTCCAAATGTCCTTATTGAACCCAAGAATCCGGACATATGAAACATAAATCTCCCTAACAAAGATCTACTATCCAAAATGTACACACTGGATTCAAGAATCAAGTCAAAGAAAACAAAATTCTTCCCTCACAAAAGCCTAGTATTCAAAGGTGTTTATTGATACCAAGAATCCGGACAAATAAAACAAAATTCTCCCCTGACAAAGGTCTACTATTAAAAATGTACACACTGAAACCATGAATCCCGACAAATAAAACAAAATTCTTCTCCTCAAACAAACATCCAAAATGTTATTATTGAGCCCAAGAATGCAGAGAAATAATGCAAAATTCTCCCCTGGCAAAGGACTGCTATCCAGAGTTTCCAGGCTGAACCCAAAAATTATGAAAAATAGCACAACATTCTCCCCTGACAAAGGTGTAGTATCCAAAATGTACACATTGAACTCATGAATGCAGAGAAATAAAACAAAATTCTCCCCTTATAAAGGTCTACTATCCAAAATGTGCACACTGAACCCAAGAATTCAGACAAATAAAAAAAAATGGAACTCTGGGAAATGTAGTCTTGGCAATGCAGAGAATGGAACTGTGGGAAATGTAGTTCTGATGACATAGAGAAAGGCACTGTGGGAAATGTAGTTCTGATGACAGAGAATGGAACACTGGGAAATGTAGTTCTGATGCCCTAGGGAAAGACACCCTGGGAAATGTAGTCATGACAATGTAGCAAAAGGCACTGTGGGAAATGTAGTTCTGATGACACAGAAAAAATGATAGTCTGTGGGAAATGTAGTCCTGACAATGTAGAAAATGGAGCTGTGGGAAATGTAGTTCTGAAGACACAGAGAAATGCACTGTGGGAAATGTAGTTCTGATGACGTAGAGAAAGCTATTGTGTAAAATTTATTTCTGATGCCACACATAAAGGCACTGTGGGAAATGTAGGACTGAGGAGTTAGAGAATGGAACTGTGGGAAATGTAGGTCTGCTGATACAGACCAAGGCACTGTGGGAAATGTAGTTCTGATGATACAGACCGAGGCCGTGTGGGAAATGTAGTTCTGAAGAAAAGGAGCAAGGCGGCGTTGGGATTGTAGTTTTGATGACTTGGGGAAAGGAACTTTGGGAAATGTAGTTCTGATGGCACACAGACTTTGTGGGTAATTTAGTTCTGATGACACAGAGAAAGGCACTGTGGGAAATGTAGTTCTCATGACTTACAGAAAAGCCCTGTGTGAAATATAGTTCTAAGATGTAGAGAAAGCACTGTGGGAAATGTTCAGATTAGACAAACACAGGCACTGTGGGAAATGTAGTTCTGATGAAACAGTGAAAGGCACTGTGGGAAATGTAGTTCTGATGACTTAGACAAAGGCCCTGTGGGAACTGTAGTTCTGCTGATGTAGAGAAAGGTACTATGGGAAATGAAGTTCTGAGGATGTAGAGAAAGACACTGTGGAAATGTAGTTCTGATAACAGACAATGGCACTATGGGAAATGTAATTCTTATGACATAGAGAAAGCCCCTATAGTGATATTTTATTTGTACTGAAATGTGATTTGTATGTTAATAAATAAAGTTGCCTGGGGGTCAGAGCTATTAGCAAGCCATAGGAAAGGTGGTCGGAGGTTTAATCCCAGCCCTTGGTAGGCAGAGCTAGGTGTGGTCAAGGATACAGCCAGCATTGGAGACATATGCCTTAATCTCAATACCAACCATAGAAGACCTGGAGGTCTGTACAGACAGGCAGTGACGAGGTGGTCATGTGGTTGGGTTTACAACCAATGAGAAGGCAGAACAGCAACACTATAAAAATGACAGACACAGGAAGTAGGTCTCTTTCAGAGAGGAACAGCAGCAGTGAAGGGTAAGGTTTTTAGCTCTTAGCTGTTGCTCTGACCTCTTGGCTTTCATCTCTGTATTGGCTCTGTGTCTCTTATTTAAGAAGATGGTTGGTTACGCCTACAAGGCCCTGTGGGAAATGTAGTTCTGAGGATGTAGAGAAAGGTACTGTGGGAAATGTAGTTCTGATAATGTAGACAAAGGCCCTGTGGAAACATAGTTGTGATGACACAGAGAATGGCACAATGTTAAAGCTAGATCTTATGACAGACAAAGGCACTGTGGGAAATGTAGGTTTGATGACACAGAGCAAGGCACTGTGGGAAAAGTAGTTCTGATGAGACACAGAAAGGCAGTGTTGGAAATGAAGTTGTGATGATGTAGAGAAAAGAACTGTCAGAAATGTAGTTCTGATGATGTAGAGGATGGCACTGTTGGAAATGTAGTTCTGACCACACAGAGAGAGTCATTGTGGGAAATGTAGTTCTCATGATACTGTGCTTGCTTTACATTTCTTCTAGATTCCTTCTTTTGCTGGGATGAAAAATTCAAATCAAAATCAACTCAGCAGGATGGTGTTTATTTAATATTCATAGTACTAGGGTGTATTAGACTTAAACGTCCAGGGCAGAGTCCATTATTGGAGAAAGTTAAGGCTGGAAATGGAAGTGAGGTCTCCTTGCTCTACCAGGACGCTCTTTCCTCCCTGGGGATTCCGAGTTCTATGGAGGAGGCTCCTGGCTGTCCAGGTCTCTGGTCACTCAGCCTCAGACTTCACTTGCATTCTTTTTTCTGTCTTTTAATGTATTATTAATATATTTGTTAATATAACATTATTAATGGAGTATTAATGTCAACATGTTGGGTTGTGGAGCCCAGAGCCACGTGATCTGAGTATCTTGCATTCTCTTGCAGTCCAGGCCCACCCTCCTGGACGATGGTGCTCTGTGCTATGAGCGAGGTCGTTGAACCTTCATCACATCAGGTCAGATCTTGGGTTGTGTCACTAAATCACAGTCAGGGCCATCCTTCATAAACATGACAATACACTGAGCTGATAAGAAAAATTAATGGATTTAGAGTTTTTTGAGTTGAAATTAAAAAAAAAAATTTGAAGTTAAATGTTATGACATTGAATAACAATGCTGTAGATAGCACGTCTTTAAAGTGACCACGTGCATACCCCATCATTTTCCTAAAAATTTATAAATTTCATTTTATGAATGAATGCATGTGTTACATGAACCACTGGCATTGTTTGCCTTCATGCACTGTTGCATAGTTTCCATGAAGATCCCTAACGTGAATACTTAACAACAGACTTCTAAAATTGAAAGAATCATTTTAAATCTTTAAAAGTTTCTTTACAGCATTCAAATAAAGAAAATATGTGCAAATTTCCTTTAGCACGTGTGTTCTTGATATGATCTTTCATAAATATAAGGATACGGATGTCAGGGAATGTGGCTATGATTTGAACATGTGTAGTTCATAGGATTCTTTTAAACGTGCAAGGTCGATTCCCCAGCTAATTTTAAGCTGCACTTCACCCTCAGATTATGAGGTAAGGAAATATTCTAAGCACAAAACCACATGGCCTATATGGGTGCCTGAAAACGTTCTTAAAAATTGGAACCAGGGGTGGGGAAAGATGGCTCAGTAGCTAAACTTCTTGTTGCCTCCAAGACACAGGACTCTCAGCATCCTTTCAAACATCATGACGGTCTGTAGGCTGGCATGCTCCCCACCATGACGAAAAATGTAAATAAGCCATACTAATTAAATACTTTAATATATTTAGGATATTTCCATTGTATAAACAAAATATTCATATTCCTTGATGCTAAACTCCAGGATGATTTTGTGACCACAGAAGGGTCATAGAGCAAATGAGGGAATCAGTGATGTGTGCTTTATCAAGACACGTAAGTTCTCTGCTATGCATCTGTGATAGCTTTAAAATGTGCATATGAAAATTGTCATCTTCATTGTTTACAAAGTAACAAGCTTTACTCATTACAATTGGCCTCTTTAGACAATCTTAGAAATCATGGTAGAATTTTCCCCTATTGGAACATTCAGTTCACCATTAGGTCCAATACCAGAGTGAATATCACAGGTTATTGCTCAGAACCTATGAATTTCTAATGATGCAAATAATATCATAAATTGGCAATTTTAAAAGTGAAGTTTGAAACTTCATCCCCTTCTTATAGCACAGGATCCAAGAGTACAGTCGCATCATTGTCTTTGAATGTTTTATAACGTGTTTCCTTGTGTATTTGACAATAAGTCACATCACACCAGATTTCCCTGAATGAAAATGTCATTGACAAAATGTAACAGTGTCAATCTAAGTACTGGACTGACTGCCACGCATGGCACTCTGACAAATAAACAAGCTTCCAAAATGAACCACACTTTACATTGCATTTGACCCACGAAGGGAAACAGATGGAAAGTGTTTTAGTTGATAGCCTCTGTAACGACTGAAATACGCATCATTTCTCAAGAAGCTGGAAACCGAAACATAGAAAAATGAAGATTCTTCTGTTAACTGCTGTCATCAGCTTTGTTGGCACAGAAGAGGTACTTAATATTGGTTAAATTATATTTTTTCCTAAAGCAAAGCAGCTTGCAATATTGTCGTAGACAGTGCAGCAATACTTAACAATCAGTCTAAAGCAGCAGTTGTATGAACAGTAATTCTATCCATCAGAGAAAACGGATTTAACAACTTCTAGTTTTAACAATGATTGAGATTTTAATAATTCAGTACAAATGTGTCATTGTGTATTTGTATGTTTATACATGAAAGAAATTGTGATAGTATGCATTTTATAATTTTTTAAAAAATAGATCACAAGGCATGTATAGGATTATTCAAATAAATATGAATTCAATTTCTCCTCCTTTTAATTATGGTAATTTTGATGAAGTCTGTCTGTAGCAAGGCCTTCTTTTGGATTTACTGAAAACACAATCATAAATTTAAAAACATAAAAACGTGTTATAAACGAAATGTTTTTTAATGAGGGTAGGTATAATGTGTAGGTTCCTGTGCAGGAATGACGTTTTGTCTCAAAACTTACAGTAAATAAAATTTATTTGTGGGGAAATGCTGGTAATAATAATAATGTGATCCTTTGCTTTTGTGTCATTTGCTAGTACTGTGATAACTCTTCTTTGATGACTGGGAATTTTCAGAGAATCCCCCATGTTCAAATGCTAAATAGTTTTAATTTCTTCTCCTTTCAACCTAACACTGTTGACCAGATTACTTCAATTATAAAATGATCATTAACTTCAGTGTCCTTTCTTATTGCTCTTGCTAATACTGTAAGTGCTTTTATATTTTATTGCATGTATACTCATATTTCTTTGTTCTGACAAGTAAACAATTGTCTCTTCATATTTCTGGATATTTGGCAATAGATGAGACTTTTCTCAATACGATTGCTAGCCAGAACTGGATGTTTGGAAAGACCACACGGTTTAAGGTGTTGACAGAAGAGATGCCATAGATGAAGATTTACATTAAAAGGGGTGCTTTAACGTCTTTAACATGTGAAAAAAATCTGAAATAATTGATTGATTTAATTTTTTCAGTTGAAAGTACATGTCAGTTCAGGATGACGTTTATGATACAAAGTGCCAATATTTATAATTATGTATTCATTATTAATTTGATATATATATAATTTGATTATATATTATATCATAAATATACCATATATTTACATTAATTTGCTTATGAATTGTAAGGCTATGGCTATTGATTCTCCATCATATTCTATCTTCCTGAACTCAAAATTTTAATAAATATATATTAAGCTGGGATAAAGGAAATCATTCAGTGCACAAATTACGCCATGTGAAAGTTGGATTAATAGAGGTGGGAACTATGCTGAAAATTATTTGAATATGACTTCCGATATCTTATAAATAATTCAGTAAAACACAATATCCAAGAAATTTTAATATATTGTGACTTATATATAAAATGCATTCCTGAAGAAACTTAATTCTTTCTTTGTGTCTCATGAAGTCTATGACAATTTAAATGAACACTTTTGAAATTCAGCAGGGCTGTTTCCAAAAAAGCACCTTTCGAAAAATCTGGGGATGGCATATTTGAATTCAAAGAACTCTGTTTATCATCAAAATAAATGTTTCTTTCATGTTATTTATTTTTGCTGAAATTAAGACATTGATATCCTTAGGTGTTATTTTCAACTCTTCATGTATCTCAATGGTTATAATTATTTTGTCTGTGAATTTAGAGTTTTGTTATTATTCTTAATTTGCTTTTGTAAATTTTCATAGAACATATGATGAATATAAATGTGAATATGTGCAACCACAAATCATATCAGAAAAGTTCATTTTATTATTTTCTTTAATTTTATATTTTTAAACATTTATCAAATATGCACATGTACAATTTTTTCATTAATTTAAATTAGATTATTTTCTCATAAAATGCATCCTGATTATATTTCCCTCCCCTCTACTCCTATCAGTTCCTTTCCACCTCCTCTCCATTCTGCACCCACAACATTTTGATCTCTTCCTAGAAAAGTAGAGGCTTTTAAGAGATAATCGAGCATAACAAAATAAAGCATAGTAAGATGGAACAAGAAATATCATTTCAGTTTTTGACATGACAAACCAATTGGAGAGAAAGTGTCCCAAATGCAGGAACTTGGGTTTCAGATGGCATAAGTCTCTCTTCCAATAATTTTAATGTAATTAATGATATGTCCATATTTGAAAATTATACATTTACCTTCTACTTGTTCCTTCCAAATCCACTATTGCTCATCTCCACACATATTGTTTCCCTCATTTGATAATGTTTCTGTTCTCTTAAGACTATCAGTTCAATGAGCACTGCCTATGTGTATATGACCGGGACATAATATCCTACAGTGAGGGAAAAGTCCAACACCTGCCCAAGAAAGAGACTGAAACTCACTTCAGCTGCAGACATCAATGACCAATACCTCTTCAGCTAAGAATTGTGCTTCTGATTCTCTTGCCGTTTGTATGCTGTCATTAAAACTCTCCTCATCTCGAAAATTCTGGTGAAGGTGGCATAGGTTTCTCCTCATTTATATTTGCATCATTGAAGTCAATTCTTGAGCTTTCATCAATTATTTTCTTGTTCCATTCACAACATCTTTACTCATAATTAGAAGTTCAAGAAGAGTCAAAGAAATTCTTTTTTTGTTCCAGTACTTAGAATTTACTTATAAGTATATCACATATGAATATCTACTAAAATAATTTAACTGACATTGAAATTGAAAATACAATATTTTACTGGATTTTCAGTGTGCATATTCTCTTTCAGCCTTTAGAAAAATTTCGTACCCTCTATGTGGCAGCTGATGATTTAAAACAAATAGAGGAGAATGGGCCACTAAGAATTCACATACGTCATATTCTACCCTACAATAATTATGCTGAAGTTGGCTTCACATTTTATATCATGCAAGTTAAATTCATTCAGATACAAGAAGCAAAATATTAAATATTAAATATTAGTAGTGCATGGTCGCAATTTCCTTGACATTGTGTGAAAATACGTCAATGATGTCAGATGGTTAACTGCCATACATATATCACATTATAATATCATATCAACTTAGGTCATGTTGTGCTGACATGTTACCCCAGAATGCAGTCAAATGCAATGAAATTCACTGAGACACCAATGTTGGAAAGTAGTTTGTCACATCCTTCACTCTTCATAATTCTTTGCATAGAGATTTGTTGTTAATTTGTCAGCTCCCAAGAATTTCTGAACATGCCTTGGAGGCGATCTTGGTGGTATTCTTCAACATCACAGTATCCTGTTCTGCAAGGTGAACTCACTCTCAGTAGGTAGAAGAGTATCCACATGAACTCTAGTCCTTGTTCATCCATCTGATGAGTTCTGAAATTACAGCCACACATCATCCCATCTGCATATTCATGTCATTTTAACATATGTCTTATCTAATAAAAAATTATATAAACACATCAAAGCAAGATACCAAAACAAAGGCCGTGTTTGTACCACAGCAATCAGTAGGGAGTTGTCAATTTCCAATATTTATATTCATCACATAACCTGGGCTGGTGCACATAAGCTGACATGATGAAATACATTTTTTTCTCTTTGAAGTTCATTGATGTATATGCAATGTCGACTGATGAAAATACCGTTGTCATTTTGTGTTTAGGCAAAAGGACAGATGCCAACTCTACACACCTCTGCTTTGTAAATTTATTACTTTCATCATAAGACCACCACGTGAGTACCTTATGTTTTCAGGTGACTAAATACATATGTAGTGCATTAAATTCACACTCATAGTACTTAACATTGTGGTAGTTTTAACAAACTATTTGAAAAAGTAACCTGATTCGGAAGAGGTTTATATTTACATCATTGTTTCAGATAAGTCGAGACCATTGCAGAGCCGAAGCCAGGGTGGAGATGTTTCTAAGACTGTATTCTTCATGATCCCTGATAAGTTTTCTACTCTCCCAGAAAACTGGGTTCAGAGCATAAAAGATGAATCCAAAGGTGTGTAAAATATGAAATCAATTCTGCAACGTATTATTCTACGTCATTTTGACTCCTCATCCTAAATTTCCACAGAAATAACAACCGATGATCCAAATGGGAACATTTACACATACTCTCCATCAATTGGATAAGTAGTTTCCACAATATGTATTAGAAATGTTTGAATCAGAAACACTGAAAAGTGTACGACATTTAGTGAAGTTATTGTCAGTTGATTATATGGACAATCATGGTGACTTGAGAGTATTCTAGTATAGGATAATATATGTTTGGTATAACAAAAACGAAAAAAAATAATTTGCTTAATGATACAGTAAGAAAGTCAATATTTGGGATTCATGCCAGTGTGAAAATGTAGCAAGTAGTTTATGCAAATTATAAAAACTGTGATTGGGTTAAGTCACCTAAATTTTATGAGAGCAGAAAAAATAACCACACATACTGTATTGGACTGCTATAAAATTTCAGTATTATATTTTTTAAATATTTGTCTAAAAATGTTATGTAGAAAGTTACAATTACAAAAAGTTAAAGGTTACATATATTGGGTATCACACATTTTAGGAAAGTATAAAAAATGCATAAACTTGTATTTTAGGATTATTTATTTAGTCAAATCGTGTACTAACATTTGTGTTGTTCAATTTCCATTTATCACATAAAATGTATATTAAAGTAGGATTTTGTGACACACACATACATACATATATAATATTATTTTATTAATCATAAAAACAATTTTATTAACAAATTTTTAAAGAACTTAAAAGTTAGAATGTATGTCTTAAATTTTATTTAATTCTCACATGACTTCTTGATTAAAAGGAAGTAATAACTATCATTGACAATTAATTCAAAAACTACAATGAATTTAAAAATTCATTCATTTATTTATTCAGTTATTTTGATGGTGTAATTCATACTTCATGCAAAGACAAACACAAATAACCAAATCAAAGTAAAGAACAGAATACATTCATTGTTTCTAGTTCAAATAAAATATTTTTCTCAGTTACAGATGCCATTGCATTTCTATTATATCCTGTTTCAAACACCACAGTCATCATGTGCATGCACTTTGTTGAAAAGAATGGAAAATACAAAAATATGTGTGCAGCATTCTGTAAGTGTAATATCTAACTTTAGATGGTTATGAACATATTTATTAACTTGTCTTTTTCATAAGAAATTATTTAAAACTTGTCTTCAATAATCAGCATTACGTGGCAGGAAGTCTCTCTTCAGTTATGTACAGGAACACAATTTGAGGTACATAGAATCCTTAACTAAATGTTCATACTGTATTTCAGTCAGAAATGTCTATGAACTAAGTGACAAGCATGACATATATAAGACATCAGTTTGCAAAAACAAAGTTTCATGTGTCACACCATTCTTTGGGAGAAATGAAGAAATATCTTCACTACACCAAAGACTCTATTTTTTTCAAACTCTTTGGAAAATTAACAATACTTATGATAATGAACATAAACTGTCTATCAGATATAAGTCTATTAATTGTGAAGAACCTTTTTGTACCCAGAATGCTGACTTAATCTCCTTATTTAATATAGAAAGTAAAATGTCATGATTTGAAGAGTCTTTAAAAAAGAAACAATGTCACATTTATATTTACTAGATATTAAATTAGTGATTGGCATTGGTGCTTTGCAAGAAGACTCTGAAAGGAAATGTTAATGAAAACTCTGGTATGTTGACCATTTTGAAGTGGAAAGCCATACATACATCAAAATATCATCAGCACAAATCAGAGCAGATAGGCTAAAAAAAATAAGTATATGTGAGTGTGTGAGTGTGTGTGTGTGTGTGTGTGTGTGTGTGTGTGTGTGTGCTGATTAAGAAGAAAAGGGGTGGTGGATCTGAGTGGACATAGCAGCAATTTGTATTTCCTCCAAATTCACAGAACACTCACTTAATTAATTTAAAAATATATAATTGTATAAAGGTCTAGACAATAAAATTTGAGCAATCCAAAATTCAGAAAGTCATATTTCTTATGGATATCTCTATTTACTTTTTATATTTAATGTAGCAAAAGAAACTAGTCTCAGTAAAGAATTATGGGACATCTATGTGAGAACCACTGTTGAATATGGAATCCCAAGAGAAAATATACGAGATATCCTCAAAAATGGTAAATAAATGTGTTTCACAACTAGAATATTGATCTGAAATAAGATAAAATAATGAAAATTCTTGATTTCCATTTCTGTTGCTGAAAAAATGAAATAAAAATTATTGAGTAAACGAGTTACATTTTAAGTTTGTATGTCTTATACTTCACAGACACCTGTCCTCAATGAAGCTACTGATTTGGTGAGTTAAAGTAAAATAAGAATCTTTGTCAGAACTCAATATAATAAACAAAACAACCATTTCATGAAAATATTCTGTGTGGAAAAATAGGAACAAGTATATGATGTGAAAACTTTTGCAATAATAAAAAAAGAAACAATATCAGTACATATGCAAAACAAAAACTATACCTGATATCATTTAGAAAATATCCCTACATATTTTAAAGTTCATAGAGTTTTATAGTCTCTTTTATTTATTATTTTTGAGGTGTAAACAGAAAAACAAAATTGACTGAGGGACTGCAATCACTTCATTTCTAGGCAAAGTGAAGAAATATCATGAGCAATGAATCATTGAATATTATGAACATATCAGATTAAGTCTTGAATATGCTACACAGACTGCACATAAAAATTCACATTCTGAATGGGATTTGAATTTATGAAACTTCCATATATATTTTTTTCTGTACTAAATTTTATTGTTTACATGAAAGATGCAAACTCCAGCACTTGATAAAATAAGGTTTCTTATGTCTAAAATCATCAGAATTGTGCAAATATTAAAACTTGAATCTAGTCCCTATGATCAAATTTCTGCTCAAGAATTCCTTCATTCCTTACCTCATCTCTCAAACATGGATTTCTAAATGTTCTATAAAACTTACTGTATTCATTTGCATTTAATATATTGCCATTGATGTTTCTATTGATTTTGTAATTTCACAGGTTTCAAGATTGATACAACTTGCTACATATATGTCCATGGCATCTAATTCACAAATGTGAAGGTGGACCGATCTTTCTTTCCCAATTGTGCATTTACCTCTCTCGTGTAGTTCAGATTCTTCACACTGTCCTTTCCTCGTTTCTTCCCTTGCCATGATTAGTCGAATTTTCTTTCTCTGTGAATCAGTGAATAAATTTCATCTTCTGGCATAAACTTTTTAAAAATCTACTGCGTTATTTAGATCTTCAGTATGGGACTCATTTCTTTTATGAATATGTGTATAGAGTGTGTATGAATGGCAATGTTTGTACAGTGTTTGTTTGCATCTATATCAAGGTCTCTGTGTGCAGAACAAGCATAAAATCTGGGTTTGAGTTTTTCCTATCTACCTTCATCTGGGAGCTAGGCATCAAAATCAGGTTGTCAAATTTAAGAATCCAAAGCTTTGCTGGGCAGTGTTAGCACACACCTTTAATCCCAGCACTCAGAAGGCAGAGTCAGGTGGATCTCTGTAAATTTGATGCCAGCCTGTTCTACAGAGTGAGATCCAGGACAGGCTCCAAAGCTACATAGAAAAACCCTGTCCTGAAAAACAAACAAGCAGACAAACAAACAAATAAACTAAAAGTCCAAATCTTTACACACTGGACAATCTTATTGGTCTATGTCATATTTTAATTGAAACAAATTTTCTGACTACAACATCAGTGCACAATATTGGCTGCACTTCAATATTTACATGGAAAAGTGTGTGGGTGGGGGTTGACTGTGAAGTTCATATCAAATTAACGTCCACACTTAAGACTGCTGATTTAGATTTCAAAGAGTTTAAATTAAAATACAAGTCAATTTGAAAGCTCATTGCCTAGCACTAATTTTATAAAGCCATCTGATTAGATCCAACAAAACACGATGTTTGTTCCATAAACACATGATGAAAGATCTTGTAACCATGAAAATTAAATGGATTGGAGTAAAAATATTCAAAACAGGGGTCATGGGTTGTACCTAGGGTCTAATATCTCCAAAGTAATGACCTCTAGCCCATGATTACAGAACCTGATATGTAGCTATTCCTGCAGAACTGACCTCATATCCAATTAGAAAACTATATTTTTTCTATAGTAAAAATTATATGGTAAAATTCAAACATTCAAAACTGAGTACCTCTTGTCAGGGTTGACTGTAGTAGCATTCAGCTAAGTAAGTCCACTGATTTCCTTCCTACTCTTAAGTAATGTTTTATACCTTCTAGTGTGATGTTATCTAGCAATCCCATGGGTGACTATCAACTTTGTTCATTTATGTTTAGTTTGGAATCAATATCTACTTGCCTTCCTTCCCACAGACCCCCCCACTTATGTGTAAAATTTAAGTAGATGTTTATCTACTCCACATACTTATCTGTAATGAACCACTATGTTGAATTTTTTGAATGATTTTTTTTGTGGTTTAATGATGATAGATTGTCTTAACTAACCTTCATACATTCAGTATGTTGTTTAATTCATCAATGGACATCACATTTGTGGAGCCTCCCTTTTCCTCACTTGTCATGACACTGTTTGGATGAGGAGTGTTAGTTTAGCGGGCTTGTGTGGTCGTCCCTCATTGGCTGGGCATGAACAGGACCTCTGACATGGACTGTTGCTAGCTCCTCAGGCAGACTCTTCAGGATCAGGAACTCTGACATGGACTAATAACTCTGGCAGCTCCTGTGGCTAGTCCCTCAGGCAGACTCAAGTTTGGCTCTTAAGGAGTAAGGCCCAAATCCTCAACCCTGTGGGCCTGTTCTACTACATATACACCCTTTATTTTATTATCTAAATATATTAAGGGCTCCTGGTCAGCTCAGCATCTATATTATCCATGTCAGCTAACACACATAATTTTCCAATTAAATCAGACAAGGGCAGATGTTATGGCCTTCAACTATTTATTTTAATTTTTGGCATGATATAGAAAGACTGTTGGATCCCTCCTGGATTCTCACGTGTTTTTTGATGAGTGGTTGGTGCTTTAAATCTTTCTCCTTTTTTAAGTATCTCCCACCACACTTCCGGGAACAATGGGCACCACTGAAGTGACTCTACAGAAGTCAATGTATATTAGACATCTATTTCATGGTCCTCCACAGACCTGTGCATGCCTTGTTTTCTGAAATCCCTAAGGCCTGACTCTCCCAACCCAGGGTGACTCCCCAGGGATGGACACTCTTCAAAGGCTGGTAGTCACAGATGGGTAAGACCTTTCTTGGCAATCCATCCTAAGACGGGCACAGTCTAGTTACTGGGAACCCTGAGGAGGGGTCAACAGGGCCTGAGCAAAGGACTCTGACTCCCACTGAGGGCCCATGTAATAAAATAAAAGGGTAGATATGTAGTAGGACAGACCCATAGGGTCGAGGTAATTGGCTCAGACCAGTTGCCAAGGCATGCACATGCTGTACTCCTTATGAGCCAACCTGGATTCTGCTGAGGGCCTAGCAACAGACACTGTCAGAGTTCGTGATGGTGCCCAGCCAATGAGGGATGACCACACAAGGCCACCAGATTGTGACACAACCTGGGTGCTGGTAGGAGGGTATATAAGGCCTTCCCTGTTATTGAATAAACAACTTTGCTCTTTGCCTTCAATGGACTCCTGGTGTCTGTGTCATTGATACTGTGTCTTCTCACCCCTTCCCCTAAGGGAGCTGCTAGTTTCCACTAACACCTCCCCCACTCAGATCCCAATTCTTCATCACAATCTGGAATAGTCTTATATTTACAGATTGTCTAGTAAGTCTCAATATTTTTATGTATTTGATTTCTTGCATTCAATCTGTATATTTTGGATATTAGACTTTTATCTGTTCCTAATTTTTGTTTTATTTATCTGAGTTCATGTGTTCAATATGTATATTTTGTATATTAGACCTTTATCAGATGACAATTTTTGTTTTATTTGATTTCCTGTGTTCAATAACTATATTTTATTTGACCTTTATCACATGAGAATTTTATTTCCGTTTTTTATCTTCTTTGGAACAATATGTATATTTTGGACATTAGAGCTTTCTTAGGTGAGAATTTTTGTTGTTCTAATTTCTTCTTTGCAAAAAAAATTTTTGATATATGACTGTTATCACATGTGAATATTTTTGTTTTTCTGATTACTTGCATTCAATATGTATATTTTGGATATTAGTTCTTCATCAGATAAGAATTTTTGTTTAATTTATCTATTTTCTTGTGTTCAATATGTTTATTTTGGATATTGGACCATTATTAGATGAGAATTTTTGTTTTATTTATCTAATATCTTGTGCTGAATATGGATATGTTTGACATTAGACTTTTATCAGATGAGAATTTTTGTTTTATTTAATTTCTTATATTTAATAATATATTTTGAATATTAGATTTCTATCAGATAAAAAGTTGTTTTATTTAATTTCTTGGGTTCAACAAGTACATTTTTTGATATTAGACCTTCATCAGTTGACAACTTTTGCTTTATTTGTCTAATTATATTCAATATGATATTTTTAATATTAAACGTTTATCAGATGACAATTTTTATTTTTTTTTAATTTCTAGGGATCAATAATATATTTTGTATATTAGAACTTTATCAGATGAGAAATTTTGTTTTATTCATTTGATTTCTTGGTTTGAATATGTATATTTTAGATATAAATTCTTTATCAGGTGAGATTAGAGAAATGTAGTTCTGATTGTGTAGAGAAAGGCACCTTGGAAATGTATTTCTGATGACGTTGAGAAAGGCACTGTGGTTAATGTAGTTCTGATGATGTAGAGAAAGACACTGTGGGAAATGTAGTTTTTACAACACACAAAAAGGCACTGTGGGAAATGTAGTTGTGATGAACAGAGAAAGGTACTGTTGGCAAGGTAGTTTTCATGACACAAAGAAAGGACCTATGGGAAATGTGTTTCTGATGATGTAAAGAAAAGTACGGTGGGAAATATAGTTCTGATGACACAGAGAAAGGCAGTTTGGGAAATGTCATTCTGATGACTTAGAGAAAGGTTCTTTGGAAATGTAGTTTTGATGACATAGAGAAAGCCACCTGGGAAATGTAGTTCTGATTTCACAGAGGAAGGAACTGTAGGAAATGTAGTTCTGATTCCGTAGAGAATATTGCCCTCTGGGAAATATAGTTCAATGATGTAAGTAAGGGCACTGTGAGAAATGTACTTTTGATGAAACGGAGAATGGCACTGTGGGAAATGTAGTTCTGATGATGCAGAGAAATGCCCCGTGGGAAGTGTTCTGATGACACAGAGAAAGATATTGTGGGAAATGAAGTTCTGATGATGTAGAGAAAGAACCTGTGGGAAATTTAGTTCTTAGGATATAGAGAAAAGCCCTGTGGAAAATATAGTTCTGAAGATGAGGAGAAAGCACTGTGGGAAATGTAGTTCTGAAGCAATAGGGAATGTGCATTGTGGGAAATGTAGTTCAGATGACACAGAGAAAGGAAGTGTGGGAAATGTAATTCTGATGATGTAGAGGACGGCACTGTGGGAAAGGTAGTTCTGACAACACAGAGAAAGTCACTGTAGGAAATGTAGTTCTCATGACACTGTGCTGGCTTTACATTTCTTCTAGATTCCTTCTTTTGCTGGGATAAAATATTCGAATCAAAATCAACTCAACAGGATGGTGTTTATTTAATATTCATAGTAATACGGTTTATTGGACTAAAACTTCCAGGTCAGAGTCCATCATTTGGGAAAATTAAGGTTGGAAATGGAAGTGAGGTCTCCTTGTTCTCCCAGGATGCTCTTTCCTCCATGGGGAATCTGAGTTCTATGGAGGAGGCTCCTGGCTGTCTAGGTCTCTGATTACTCAGCCTCATCCTTTGCTGGCATTCTTTTTTCTGTCTTTTAATGTATTATTAATATATTTGTTAATATAACATTATTAATGGAGTATTAATGTCAACATGTTGGGTTGTGGAGCCCAGACCCACGTGATCTGAGAATCTTGCATTCTTTCAGTCCAGTCCCATCCGTCTGAATGATGGTGCTCTGTGCCATGAGCAAGGTCCTTGAACCTTCATCACAATCAAGTCAGTTCTTGGGTTGTGTCACTAAATCACAGTCAGGGCCGTCCTTCATAAACATGAAAATTCACCAAGCTGATAAAAAAAAATTAATGGATTTAGAGTTTTTTGAGCTGAAATAAAAAA